TGCAGCTGCTGATGTTGTAGCTTTCGTTGTACCATCTGAAGTACTGGATACGGAAGGCATCTCATCAATGATGGTGATGCAGATAGCCTAAAAAGAAAGATTACAGTCGTTATTGGTACCAATTTCGGACCAATCGGCTCTGGTATTGGTTTCTATATGCCAAGAATACCAAGACCATTCGGAAATCGGTGTAAGGATTTGGTGCCAATGATGCAACTGACATGCTCCCATATGCCCAACATCGACCGAGGTTGCGCATCTCCAGTTAGTATCCATCGCTTGTTTGATGCATGAGCACTATCTCTTCAGTCTAAGTGGCCTTTTAATTTCTCGCGGCACCACTTACTTAATACAGGAGACATCCGCTGGTTGCTAGCAAGGTTAGCAACATGCGATTTCCTCGCTCTATATGCAGCTTCTAAAATGTTACGCTATAGCGGAAAAAAAAACCTACACCCAACATGCTGTATACCTTACTTTTGTGGAGTACAGCTAAAAGAGAGTAACGAATCTGCGATTTTGTTCGTCCGCCAATCGCAAAAAAAAAACACCTGAATCAGTGACGACAGCTGGAAGCATACCGCTCTAACGACGAGCTCACAGCAAAGAAATCACGGCAAGAGAGCAAGAGCACAAAGTAGCGAGAAGTCCAGCGGTCTGAAGCGAATTTATTAAACAAAATAATGGTACCTTAGCAAGTAAGTAACAGCAAGTAGATTTGAAGATTGAAACTCAAAGTCGTCGTCTCATCACCGGCACTTCACTCGGCCATCATCCGCATCACACTTCAGTTAAAGACAAATCCTGAAAAACAATAGCAAGCAATCTTAGAAGGCGAGTTCTTAGCTGCAGAACGTTGAATTTTATAAATCATGCAACCCAAATCATCAAAATCGCTTTGAAGAAACGAAAAACATGAAAACACTTTGGTGCCGAGCGAAACAACGAAACCGAAATCTCTCTTTTTCTCTTCACCAATGCCAGTCTGCCAGATTTCAAGCCTTACTCTGTCCACTTGAGCAATTCTGAATAACCAAAAATTCACAGCACAAAATTTTCATGATGATTGCAACGAAAGCGAGGTAAAAAGTCTATCAAAATCCCCCTAAACGTTTAATGAATATTGGTAAATCCTCTAATAATATTACTTGCCCTTCACAATGCAAGCACTGCCAGTAAGTGATGCGGCACTGATCAAAGCAACTGGAAAAGATGCCAGCCGGTGAGACTGGCTATGAAATAGAGCTCACTGGAATATTTCCCGCAAAAGGTGAAATACAGCAACTGAGGCATGAGGTAAACGCTGTACATTTCGCAAAAAAAAAATTCCCTTTTCCTCAAGTACGCTTCACTCAAGACGCTGAAAAGCCAGAAAGGCAAAAGGAAGTCGAAAACCGCGAATCAAACTACCCGTGAGCTCTCAAATTTCTTCCAGGGTTTGCTCTCAGAATGAGGAATGGAAATGCAAAGAATGAGGGCAACCGAGTGAAAATATGGAAATCAAAAGCGAAATCCCTCGTTCCTTCAGGAAAAACTGGTGCCGTGATTCTCAAACATGGGACAGTGAAATTCATCAATTTGCCTCAAAAACTGCCCAGATTCTAGCAGCCAAGCTGGTTTTTTTGTGCCGTAAGCAGCTAAAACTGATGCCACTGAGCCAGAACCAAGTGCCAAGATCATTAGCCTCCAACCCTCGTGAACACTAGGCCCAGGCTGTTCAAGAATCAATTCAGAAGCAGGCATTTGTTGCCCGAAAATTGTACAGGCATTAAGAAAACTGTGATCAGATGAACACACAGTCTAACTACTGCACAAATTCCACATTGCAAGATGCAGTTTTATTTAATGAATATACATGCAGTTGTCTGCACACTACTGCACAGTTTTTGTAACATAAACAGCATATTTCAACGCTTACAAAAAAAAAAATGCAATTAACAAATAACTGTACAGCAACAACAATTATGCATATAGACGATGATGAAGCCGGAGTTATTTTCATGCATTTTTGCATTTCACAGTGGACGAATGTACAAAACAAATAACAGCTCGTCCTACCTCATCACGTTAGTTCTCTGCCCTTTTCACAGATGCAATCTGCTCGGAAATAAAACGCGGAAATTGATGCCACTACGATTGTACCCTGTGGCAAACTGAATCTTTCACGCCTCCTCCGCCAGAATGCACCGGACAACAGAAATGGACAGTCGCTTCTGGACTAATACCTTGCCAAAGCATGATTCTAAGACCTTAGATTTCCTAGTTCAAAAGTTAAATTGTAGAGACAGACAGGCCGCGCCACGTTCTGCGTTTTTGCTACATCGATGTTGCAAAAAAAGAATAGTTAGTACAGAGGAATGTCAAGAGACAAAAGAAGCGTAGTTCGGCCTGGGCAACAAAAAAATCTGAAGGACCAGTAAGCACCCAAGCTAGGTCCCACTAATTTTGTCATCATATTTTACCGCTTTTCCTATTCAGCAGATCAAGGAACAGCAAAATTCGTAAAAAGATGATAATGCTCGACCCCCCTAGCAAGAAGATCTCGAAAGAGCTATGGCCTCAACAAAGAGGGCCTTAAAGCTGGTAATCCAGAAGGCAAACCGGGCAACAAAGTAAAAACGAATGGAAAAGTTGCTAGTAGCACAGCTGTGAACCAGATAATGAATTACAGCTAATCCAAGTGTAAGCATTCCAAAACGATACTTCAGCACTCGTTTCGGTATCGAGCAAACTTCGTTCTGAGATTCATCAACGACTTTTATGAAATATTTTTCTCCATCTCTTGAGCTAGCGCAGTTATGTTCAGATCCGTTTCATCGGCCTCTTTCAGTTCAATGAATTTTGCGTAGAGTCGTGTCGACAAGCGAGCAAGATTGATTGGATCGGCTCGCTTTTCGTCAACTGACTCGCCTATAAGTTGCAAGCATTAAACAGTTGCGTAGCATCATAAACTGGGTATTGAAATGACAGAATTTTAAGGGCCAAGCTAAATGCCGGGTGAAAGGCAATGGACGTCATGCAGCTGCTGCACAAAACGCAAAATACACAGCCCAAAACAGAGTCGTGTCGACAAGCGAGCAAGATTGACTGGATCGGCTCGCTTTTCGTCAACTGACTCGCCTACAAGTTACAAGCATTAAATACAATAGTTGCGTAGCATCATAAATTGGGTATTGAAATGACAGAATTTTAAGGGCCAAGCTAAATGCCTGGTGAAAGGCAATGGACGTCATGCAGCTGCAACATAAAACGCAAAATACACTGCCCAAAACACAACGAACAGTGCGTTCTCAAATAAAGGAAACAACTGCCCCTTGTTTACGTACAGAAATATATATTTAATCTGAATCTTGAAAGAAAATCACCGTGTATGGTAAAGCAGCTCAACTGGCCCCAAGAAAGTCCTGGAAAGAGACAAACCCCCGATAAACGTACCCGGAACACACACACGCATACACATACATGCAAACACACGGACAGTACAACTGCTGCAGTAAAAAATGCATAAAAAGATATGAAGTTAGGATAATCTCT